AGTGTTGCCTCACAATGAGGCAGGGCAGCAATTACACCCCCAGCACAGATTTGGCGGGCGCCGTATCTCCCGCCCGCATTATCCTAACCCACTAACGATCAGTTAATACCAGTACGATGTCCAACCCACACTTGTGGGAGTCAGTAAAATTCGGAAAACTATTTCTTTCAATCCCACATAAATCTTAGTAGAGACAGGTGTTGTGTTTTCCGATTTTTAATGACCCCCCAAGTATAATACGCCACATAAAAGAATACAAACTTACCAGGTCTGCCAAACCATCCACTTCCTCCAGCTTCTCGTATCCAAATTCCCAAACCTCTCCTGAAGGTATCGGATCCAGGGTACTCGTTTTTCGCGCGAATGATTGGATGGGCCAACCCCAACCTTTACATAAACGGCCTGAAAAACGACCGCAGCAACAATGGGGACTATGGAAGTGCTCGAGTACAGCCCATAAGTTTTGTATATTCCGCTAGCAGGGGTTGTTGCGCTAGGGCTTGTAGCGCAGTGAATTTGGTATTGTAGCACGAGGAGTAGTGAATCGGGTATGGTGTCGGGAAGTGTAGCGAAAGGATTTTTTTTCTTCCAATTTCTTCCCTAGAACCGCCGTTCATGGTGACTGAGTGGTCTCTTCTGTGCTGGTGGATTAACGATCCATAGTTAAATTTATGAAGCCCGAGATAACTGGACTACCCGAGATCCATCATACCCAATTCACCGCACTACTACTGCTAGCGTAACAGCCCCTGCTAGCGGAATATACAAAACTTATGGGCTGTACCTCCGTAAAGAGGGGAGGTGTTGCACATTTTCGTCCCACTTTATGTCCTTCCTCCCCTCCTGTGAACTCGCCATGTCCTTCTTCGCGCTCTTACACTTTTCCTTCAATTTCCGCGCCCGTTTGGTCTACTGACGGGTTAACTCTTTCTGCTCTTCAAGCAACTTTTCAAGTTCTCGGATTCTCCGGCTCCTCTCCTTCCGTTGCTTCCGTTGCTCTTTCTCGGCCTTTACCTGCGGTGGGACTTTCGACATCACTCTCTTCGATAGGTGCAGTGTTCACAATTGTCCCAGGCAGGGTGAGTGGGGACAGCCGGGAATGGCGTCTATCTTCCACAAAGACGGCGGTCCTAGGGGCCGACCCCCGGGCCTTGCAGTCTTAGTACAAATGGGATCTTCCGCAATCATTCGCAAGGCCAGGCCGTCATCTGCAGTCACCTGTGGGTATCTTGCCTATTCCCCATCTTGAAACACCCGCAGGGCCGGCAGTCCGTCCCGGGCAGTGGTCTGGACGGACGCCAAAATGCCCGTCCATCCCGGGCATCCTCCCATGCACCGCCGTCTGTCCCGTCCGGACTGGACGGTTGGGAACACTGGCTCTTGTCGTGAGGCTGCCAACTGTAGATAACCCGGCGGGTAGAAGAAAACCAGCAGGCTTCTTGAACCGTATTTTAAAGTCTTTGGTATACTTGATGTTCTGTTGTCAGCCCAGTCCATAAAGCAATTTGTTCCCCAAGAACCGGTTTCACCTGAATACCACCAATGCGCACTTTCCAAACGTTGGAAAATCCTACGTCCTCACGACGGCGGAAGATGGCCCCACTCCAGTCACCTCTTTTTTTAAATCATGCAGTTGTGGTGGTAAGGCTATGGCATCGGCTGCCTTTTTTGGTGTTCGTACATTGAGATGTTTCCATCCTCCGACTACCACTCAACGACCAGTATTTTGCCGCTTTCCAAATAACGGTGGAGAATTAAGTATAGTACTGGCACTGCACACCACGCTGTTAATTCTCACTCGCACTTCTCACAATATAGTAGGCACGCACGCCAGTACCGTATTCACCCATTCCGTCAAGATAGATCTTCAGACAAGGTCAAGAAAGCGATTCTTTCATCTTACCACCAACCCGTTTTCCCACTACGTTATCCTCCACTCGTGTTTAATTTCCCATTTGCACACATTCCTTGCACTAGATAGCGGTGAGCCCGGGTATCGATACCCAGAAAAGCGCCAAATAAGCGCTATTTCTCACCTTTCTCCCTAGAATAGAGAAGCCCAACATGAACCGGGCACCTAAATCGGTGGGACGAAAGCTGCTTCAACATGAGTTAAAGAGAGCTGTATGTTGTTGAACGGGATCTAGAGTTATCATAGTCGTAGAAGCATTGAAGGCAGATCCTCCCTTTGGCGGCCAACCTTAACATCTAATCGCCGGATATGGTGGAAAGTCAGCTGCACCCGGGGGCTGGGAAGTACCCAGCAGATATCTGTCCCCCTTTCACAGCTTCAGAGCTAGATCCGGCTAATCACCTATGGAAGTCAGGACGTGGGGTCGTGAGGTGTCGGGAGAAACCGACTCTCTTCCAACCGGGAAATGCCATACCGGTGCCATGGGGTGGGGATACTCACCGGTAACGTGAACGGCGCAGTTGAGGGACCAACAGGGCATAGAGCGTTAAGGGAGGTTCCTGGGGAAGACTCAAGGGTTTTTCGCGAATTCGCTTCCTACAGCGTAGCAAGCGGTCAACAGCGCTTTGCGCAGCGTGTGCGAGTGATCCTCAGCGATGAGGCTGCTCCGGTTAAAAAGCGAGTGTGCCAAACGACAGTGGGGAAAGCACTACTACAGTACGTAGTGTGGCACTCCCCATTCAGTAGAGTATCTGAAAAAAGTGAGAAAAGAGTTTTCATCCCAACGTCTAATGAGAAAATCGTACTGAGGAGACTCTTACAAGTGAAGTGGGAGAACTCCTCCCACTTTACTTCATAGAGATTTTATAATTGCTTTCGGTTCCAAGGGCGGGATAGTTCTAGTATCGTAGAATTAGGATTCGCTGAAAGGATCCTCATGGAAGTCAGGAGGTAGCAGTGAGGCCATCCCCTCCTATGTGCAGTTTTCCTGGTCATCCTCGAGGATCTAGATTATGCTAACAGAAGTGTCAGATGCTTTTTAATGCGCAGCCCTATAAAAATACCCGTTTTCCCAAAAAACCATCCTCTGTTAAAATCCGAACCCCTTCGACCAGAGATTGCACGGGGGTCCATACACACACAACAGCCACCCCATCAGCTGTTTTGACAAAAGTACGAATCGACTTGGAGGCCCGCGCTTATTGCGTAGATCAATGGAATCAATAGCCAAGAGAGAGAAAAGTGCAATGCTAAAATATTTGGATAAAAACAAAAAAGTGATAAAGGTAGGAAAAAAACGCCACTTCTCCGGTGTTCCAAACAGGGCCTCGGTTCCAAAAGAAAAAAACGGTGCTATGAATGTGTGATCGTAAGCTAAAGAGAACTAAATGATGTGTTATGGTTCGATAGAAGTAGCCTGAGCTGTAGACACAGTATCCTCAGACTCAGGGTCACTTGATATTGTCAAAATCGCTTCGGTGGGTATCTCGTTCGGGTGGGAACGCCGGAGAGTCGGACATGCAGTTACCCTCCACGCGAGGGACCCCCCCCCTACGCACAACAGGATTTCATATAAAAATCAGGATTCCGAGTTATCACCATCGGACCAATCGAGTGCTAATCCCATACCCGCACGGCGTCGGTAGAGCCAAGTCCCGAGTCCCTATTATCCACCCCTTCACTTGAGCCGCTAAGTAGACCGTGTGAGTGCTCAGCGGGGCGACACCCTCAGCGAGGCCCGGCATAGTTTGGCTTGCTACTGTTATTAAAATCGGGGAGCTTTTGATGCCAAGTCTCGCCTCGCTGAGGGTTCCCCCTCGCTACGGGTTCGCACGGCCTGACCAACGGCACTGTCCTCGATCTGATCCTAACTTAATCATGAATGTCGGCTCCAGATAGCGGTAAAACACAGTACCAGCAACCGCTACGTCACCAGCCAGGGTCAAGCAACACACCGTGTGATATGAGCGCGCCTATGCCGAGAACCCCTTCACGAACCCACACTTCACGGGTGTCCCCACCGAAAACTCGGCCGGCAGAGACATTTGCGGAGATTATCTACTAGCATCTTTCCCTGTTAAGTGAGTCCGCACATAACCCAAACGGCCGATTCCGCCGGAGGATTTGGAGCATATCGGCAGGGAGATTAGGAAACTTGATATATCCGGGTGCCTCTATGTTTCTCTCTCTCTCTCTTTTTTGAATCGTTGAAACCTCCGGACTGCGTTTTCCTTCTAAATAGCTTATGGTCGCAAGGAAGTGGCGTTGGGGATGGGGAGAAATCCTCCTTCAACCCACCACCGGATTCGAATTCTAGAATTAGTGGATGTGAAGGGTGTGAACGCCCCTGCCCCGCTAGCTCCATTAGTTCAACTTCTTCACTGACGGTCACTCGGCTTAATCTTCTCAATTGGTTGCGGCACCTAAGTATTTTGCCCTTGTTTTTTTTTCCTTTCTTCTTTTCCTTTTCCATTAAGACCCTGTTCGGCATATCGCTTTCATGGCATAAAAGTGACTTATATGATAGCATAAATTTTGGCATATCAAAGTCTTCATATATAGGTGTTTGTTCGGTACTGTACTAGTACAAACCAGTGAACAGTGGCGTTTCCCTCATTGCACGTATGATAATATGTATAAATTTTTATTCTATAAACCTATATCCTGGCTGGGTTCATGGCTGTTACAGGTGAATGGAGTCATTTGTGGCTGTAGGTTTTGTCTTCCACCAAAGTTTTGGGATATTTGCCGAACACATGGATTCTTTTACCATAGAATTTTTTTTTATTAGCATGTCATTTTCAACTTTTATTGTGATAATAATTATTATAATATTATTGTTTTTAGTTAATAATAATATTATTATGATACATGCCGAACAAGGCAAACCCTTAGAAAATAGCAGGTCTAGAAATTCCCGGTTGCCCCCGAGCATCTCCGCCCAGTCCCGGACATCATTTTTATCTCCACAGACTCCACTAGAGGGTATACACGTTGTTATTTTGTGAGGTATGATAGTTAAGAATCACAACTGTATCGATCATCTCCCACAATGTAAAGAGTGACTAGTTTATTTTGCGACCAAGAGCAAGGACTAAACAGCATAAATCATGAACATAAAGCAAAGGGAAAGCTAACTAAGTACAACAAAAATACCCCCAACTAAGGAAAACACCGACATGTTTCGTTAGGAAATAAAATCAAAAAAAAAATCCCACAATCGCAATTCCAAGAATAATAGCAACATGAAGCGAAGGGTAGGGAAAGGATCTGCGTAACTCCCGAAACGACTGGACTTTTCTGAAAGTGCAACTGCAGGGGGTCGGGGACACAGTCGCCGACTCTCCCATCTATCATCATAATCTAACGCCATACGAATCCAAGAAGGCACCCCTACTACCAGGCAAAAATCGCCTGTGGCGAGCGAATACACCCTCACCCAACACCAATTCGAGCATATCCCTCAATACCGTGCAGTTAATATCCTTTTTACTTCCCTCCACTCCTATGCCCAAATTCTAGCTGTGAGGATTGCCAATATCCTGCCCTTATTCATGCTCCAAGGAATGTATCCTGCCGTAAAGATGGCGATGCTTCTTGCCCTTCACATGAACCATCAAATTGTGCTTCCGGTGGAACCCCTTTTGGTATCGAGGACACTTATTCTCGGGGCAAAAAAGTATCTTAGATGCGAGGTGAGTCTCGTTCTTGTGCCGGATCATAGCAGATGACGACGTAAATGTGCTACCCTCGCACCCGCGGTAAGAGCAATAATAAGGAGAGTTGGGTTTGGGGGGCATCGGAGATTTTCTGCGTTTTTTCTGCTTGGTTATGATGCTACTCCCCACTCCCAAATATCAGTTTGAGACACTTCGAGCCACGCCCCGCAAAGTCCTAGCTTCTTGTTCATCTCGCTTTCTCTACCCTCTCATCCTCCCACTTTCCACCACACTAGAGAGTGGACATACCTCTGTACTTCCACCGCTGCCACCGCTGCCACCGCTGACAATGGCGCACCGTTTGGGGTACTTGGCACTACCGGAGAGGGCGCGCAAGTTGACATGCCACCGAGCCCTGGAGTGGGAGATGTTCGGTGGGAGCTTGAGCCCGGCGATCCTCCACCATGGCCCTCTGGGAAAGCCGCGGGCCCGGGTCCTGTTAGTAGAACCTCTGGTGCCCCGTAGGGTCCATGACCATCATGAGGCGATTGCTCGGTCGGGCCGCCGTTCATCAGCCAGTGTTCAGGGGGTGGATGCCCACTTGCCAGTGGGAAGGAATCTGGACCAATGGGACGCGAGCCACCAACTCCATAGGGATTGAATTGAACATGGTCCTGGTGCTGGGGTGGAGGTTGGCAGTAGGGCATATTGGATACATATGGCACTGAATCTCCAACAAGAACGCTGGTGGGACTCTGGGGGATATAATGCGATGCACCTGGCGAAAGCAAATAACCTTCGACAACCCCGTAGGGCCAGTCAGGCCCCGAATCAATAAAGTAGGGTAAGGGGAACTGTGACATCGTGAGCTTAGGTTCCACAGTTGTTTGTAAAGGTAATAGTAACCCACCTCTCTTCCACTGCTTACTCCTCCTTGACAGCCCATATTTCCCCAGAGTAAAGAAAAAAGGAATGACCAAAATAATAAAAATGATAATAAAAAAGGGTCAAAAATTACTGGAATAACAAAATAAAAATGAAACACTAAATACGAAGCGAGGGGCCTAAGAAAGTCGCAAATAGCCAGTCCGATAGCTTGGCCAGAGCAAGGTCAACCCGGAAACTTTGGTCCTCCTGGTTGGCTATCTCTCCTGGCGTGGAAAATCCGGGGAAAAGGAGGCCCGGCTTCACAGAGATATATACTACACCCAACTTGCTTAAGGCGAGAAAACTCTGCTCCGCCAGTGGCCGCGCAACGGCTCCAAAGGTCCAGGTTCGTTAGGTTCACTCGGGTGGGTTCTGGTCCTCGGCTAGTGGCCTCTCCCGGGGCTTAGGATTTCCGCTTGGAGTCCTCCGGCAAATGTGGCTGGTCCAATTTCTCAAGATCCGGGCAGTCCTGGATACTGAATAAGGGTAAGGGGAACGCTGTCGTCCTTTCGCTAATTGAGAGACTGATGGTACTGTACCTCGGGCGCGGCGGACCTAGATGCGGGGGAGGAGAAGAAGGCTGGCTCGCAACAGAAGATCTCTGGAGAAGTTCAAAAGAGGCAAGATAAGAATGATAGGGCGATAGTACGAATGCTTGGGCAAATAGAAGCAAAGCCAAAAGAGAACTGAAAAAAACGACGTGCGCCCGCTCTCTTATAACGCTCACACATCTCGCGCTCTCGTGGAGAATCTTATGATATCAGATAACTTAGGTTTAACCACGAGGAGAGCACCTGTGTGTCTCGATTTCACCTCTTGTCTGCCTAGGTGAGCACACCCAGTCACTCACGATTCAAACTACTCAAACCAATTCGATGGGCTTACTCGAACAATCCCCACAAAAGCAAACTCTTCCTTCTGAAAGCTATGGAATTCATAATTTTTCTTTTTTTCTATTTTGAGGTTCGGAATGAGCTCGACAAATCAATCATGGCCTTCCTCGACCGGGACCCCGAGACCATAAGACCCCGATCATCGGGAAAGGCCGCCAGTTGTTTGAGGTTCCTATATGATACCGAAGCAGACTGATTGAGCCTCACCAATCAACCATCATACTTGTAGCTTACCGACCACAAAGCAGAGGACCAGAAGCCTACTCACCCGAACTGCGATAGGCAGTTTTCAGAGAAGAATGGCTCAAAAAAAAGAAAAGCTCTAACAGTGCCGTGCTCGAACGACAAATATGCCAGGGTGTATGGTCAAATACTTGTAAAGGACAATCTCGTATCACAGATTATCAGATTATCAACGGGAATAGCGGCGTAAGCCCACGATAAGTTTAGCCAACAGATCACTAGCATTGCGAATCCTCGAGTACTGGGTGTTGATGAGATCCATCACATTCAGCACGCTCAGCCTTCACCTTGGGAGGAACAGGCTAATCCTTCTTGGGGTCTCTTGTCTCTGAGCACGGAGATTAGAGGTCTGGCGGAGATAGTGGAATAGCAGATTTTAATATACCCCACCAGTTCTCGAGTACAGTACTGTACCGGCTCCCGATGGACCTATCCTACTCTTACAGTACCCGTACAGTACACACACATAAAACAGAACACCTGCTCCCGCCCCCTCCCCACCCTCCCCGACTTCCAGTTTCCGTCGCCCACCCCGAATACACTAGCACCAGTGCCGTACGGGCACTGCCCAAGAAACCAACCCCCTCCCCGAGGAAATATGGCTCACAGTCCAACACAAACCTAGGGTTTGGGGCGTTTTCAGGTTGGAAACACCGTTGTCTGCTGAGAGGCCCATCACAACTCTGGGCGGTGCAGGCATTACTTGTATATCCAACCGACCCCGCATACCAATACCAGCACGGGAAGCATTATCCAGGTTTGGTTTCCGTAAAGGGTAGATCCCCCTCCATGCATACTGTACTCCAGTGCTCCCAACTCAGGTTTGTCCCCTGGCCCGGGGGAAAATACATCCGATGGGCTACACGAGGAAAAAGCATAGTCTAACCAAGGCTGCAACTCCATCACCAGCGGGGTTGCCCATCTTTTCAAACGCGGCGCGGCAGCGGGGCTTTCTTGGAGCTCTTCATAGATGCGCCATGCTTTTCGCCCAACTTGAGCTACCCCGCTAGGTCCGCGAAAGTCACCCAATACGCCCCGGATGTATGATAGAAGGTCCGGCAAGAAGTTATGGAACAGTTATTCGAGGCGAACCGGTCAAATATATCGCTACCGATCCCGCTTAATCGGTCGCTTAACTAATGGTCATAGGGCTGAGCACTGTATTAAGTAAGGTACCGGTATCATACTGAGATCTTTCATCCCCTGGATAACCCACTGGGATAGCATTCCCGGATAAAGCTTTCCACCTCTCATACCTTTCTATGCTCCAGAATGTCGGAAGAAAACTGACACGGCAATCTGTTCTTTTCAATGTCGGGCGTCGCGGTAAGAGCTTAAGCGATTCCTTGCTCCATACAAACTCAAACACGTATCCAATAGCAAGATCCCAGTTATTGTACAGTACTCGTACTTTTGTGCCGAGAAACTGACCAATTACCCTTCTTCATGTTACTCCAGTGAATCTGAGCACAATGATTGAGATTTGAGATATGATAACAAGCACTCCTTATCCCGTGCACGGACCCCCATTAATATCACATGTCGGTTACCTAAATACGTCTTTGTGCTTCTTCTCCATTTGCGACCGATTCAGGAATACTGTACAGTACTCCACTGCGCACCTTACTCCTATACTCTTCAAATCCCAACAACTTATCATGCCTTACTCCAAGCTCAGAGAGCTGCATACGAGTAATCGAACGCGTACACCCCCAGCACCGCCGCTAATTCCCCGCAAAAGAGGTGGGAAAAAAGAAAAGAAGAAAATAAGAAGGGTATTCTACTTATTGCTTCTGTAGCCTCACCTAGTAGGTATTCCCCCCCGCTTTCTCACCTTCTAGCTATCCTACTGTAGCTCACCTCTTTCGAGCTTCGATGCACGTGGCGGGGGTGGGTGGGTGGAAAATACTCGAGTATCATACTCCTACCCGCAGACCCATCTTACCATCACTCCACCCCCCGGCACAGGTGTGATACCATCACTCCACCCTCCGGCACAGGTGTGATATAATGACAAGGCGGAGAAAAGGAACACCTTAGGTTTTTGTGCGAAGTCCGGTACGGAGGTTTATCGGACTTTATACGTTACCATTATTAATAATAAGTATCTCTTCCGGCGCACCCCCCCCCTCACCCCACCACCTACAATTTACGATCGACTCCCCCGCCCCGGATAGGTGCGACCCACCCCAACCTGACGCGATGTGTCGAGTGATCGATTATGACGCAAATGTGGGAATATGGAACCGTGGTGCGCCCGAAAGTAGGAAAAGTAGCGCTGTGTTGTGCCTGAAAATAGGTACTCGCAGAATAAATCGCGAAAAGCCAGTGCGCACCCGAGTACCCGCACAAAGTCACCGCTGGAAATGTTTGAGAGGGAGACACAGGTTGGCCCATTCTGGTATCGGCAGATCCGCGGACTTGCGAGCGAGCAGGGAGCTTGTGCGTCAGGATGGTATCGGAAAAAACGGGTGGATCGAATCTCAAAAGACAGTGGGAAATGTTTTATCGAGCTATGGGGATGAGTTAACTCTCTCTGGGCTCGACAAGGCTATCAAGTATGATCACGGTGACATCTGTTTCGAAATTCCAAGTTAGGCGTTTCGTGTACTTACGACCGTGAGTCTTATTTGCACTTTCAGAGACTGGTGGCTAGTGCTGTAGACACGAGATTCTCAAATTCGAGTACAGCATAGTGCAAGAGCCAACATAGTAGCCAAAAGTGGAATGTTGGACGGTACTGCGCGTGTACCGTACAGTACTCAACTTACCTATTCTTACTCGACAACCTAGCTCGGTTTATCGAAATCATTCTTAACGGGTATTGGGGGAAGAATATTTGATAATCTTTAGCCCAATCCGAGCGTTCAAGATCTAGCTGGAAACCCGCTGTTCGCTCGCCTCTCCGCACGCAACTCGTCACTGCGAGTCCTGGCCTATCCTAGCTCGTACTTTACACTGTGGGAAGCTTATTCTATCTCCACATCCCTCTCCCTGGTCCTACTATCGCAATTGGGGAGGCTTTATGCCGCTTGGAAATTAACAGGAACAGAATATGGTAGGAAATAATTGAGACCGAATGAAGTAATGGCAAAATTTCCCCTAATCCAACAAGTGGAGTAAAACAGAAAACGGGATATATATTTATTATCAGACCTGAGCCATGTTGGAAAAGCAACTTATCACCATGCTTGAGTAGACATGGCAATTGACCCTCTTCGGGAATTGTATCTGACAATTAAACTTTATGCTTTCCCACAAAGGGAAATTAAGAAAAAGGCCTGAAAGGTTTCCTCATTGGTAACTGATACTAAAGTCTGGGGAATATCCATGCTCGTAGGCCAAGTTCCAGCAGCTCCTATGCCATGTCAGCCAGTAATGTCTATCCTACCTGCTTTTTTCCTCCCATACCCCAAGCACCACTCCCTTGTCTAGGTATGATAATGGTTAATGCAATCGGAATACTCCTGCCGCATTTTCCTTGTCTGTTTTGCAGGGCCTTGGGTAGGATAAAGATTAATTTTTGTAATTCTCTTAATCCCGTCGAAATAAACCCTTAGCTAGCTAACACAGCAATTTTCACCAATAATTTAGGAACCCCTCCCTCTATCGGAGACCGGAGCAATGCTTGGCACACAAAAAATCCTTTCAGTGCACTCTCCCTGCATGCTTCGCTGGCTGCTACGCAACACACAGGCTAATCATGATAATTATGATACACAAAATTGTGGTCACTAGCTGACCGGCTTGTGACATTGTTAGGCTCCGAATTAATTTTTATAAGCACCCCCTCCCCACTCAACAGAGCTCTGAAGTGATATATATCACGGTATGAAGGACCGCCGCATATGGGCCCCTCCCTCTGGCTATGGTCCTGGTCAGCTTTTAGTAGCTGCGTTGAGACTGTCTTCCTTCAAACTATCATACCTCCAGCGGCCGAGTTGAAGCTGGACACTTTCTATGGGAATTGCCACCTTCAACCCCGCCGCCGGAGTAGATCCACTGGGCGATAGATCCGGCGCTATAGCTTTCTAGCGCGGATTCCGTCCGAAGCCCCCTCTGTATTCCGACGTGGTGATGTTCGGAGGTCACTTTATTTCTATTATATCGATACCGGCATTCTCTCTGGCCATCAATAAAACCTACTCCCAACCCGTTCATATCAACTAATACCCACCGGAACACCCTGTGGTCACCATCATCCAAGTTCTCTTCTCCTGAGCTGGCTTTCTCCACTATTTAGTAGCTTTCTTACCATAATATCATACCTCCGGCAATCGCTGTTCCAGAAACTTCCTTCATATCTGCATAAGGGCACTTCCATACTTGCCTCCTGCCCTGCACCAATAAATACCGACCCTGCTTAGCATGTGTCTCCCGGGAGGCAAATTCGTCTGCAGGGTCCGCTGCACGATCCCACAATATGGCATCATACTTTCCTTGCCCGCATCGCTCTTAATGAGCCCCTTCCACCCCAAAAGGTTGAGCCAGAAGGAAAATGGGTTACTAT